TGCTCATAAAGTGCCATGGAATTGTTACAGTCGGATCGAGCATGGCTAGCAAAAATGGTGACAAACTCATGGGATGGTCCTTTACGAGAAGCGCCGGGAAGCAGGTGTGAGCAGATACTCAACTTCTTCTTGTTCATCTCTTCCGGCAACTTTTCGTTGAACAAAGAAACGGGAATGAATCAACAAGAATGCGCATTAGGCGATAGATGCAGTGGGCTTTTGTGGGGTTGATCAGTAGCGCGGCGAGCAACATAGAGAGAGGCATAGGTTGGCCATGGTTGTGGATGATATCTGGTATGCCAAGTTGAATTGCGCATTTCAGTGATGCAGAGCTTATGAAGTTGAATGTTTGGTTCCAAAAATGTGAGCCTGAGCCTCAAGTAGCTCAGTGCTTCTCTCTATATATATATATATTAGCCAAAGCCATCTTAATCAATCTGTTTCTAAGCTGCTATGCTATTCTATACCCTCAATTTTGACCAACATTGAACTTTATTTTGATTGCCACGGCTCTGTTTGTTTGGACGTAAAATATTTTTTAAAAAAAAAATTTTGGTGTTTGGTTGGTAAATTTTTATGAAGAAAAAAAATATTAAAATTTAACAAAAATAATTTATCCATAAATTTTTGGCATGTTATTTTACATGCCCCACTTGATGGACTCGACCTCAACCTCGACGTAAACATTTGTCAGATACCATATGCAGTTTTTCACTCCAGGACCATATAGCACGTGTCATCATTTTGTAGCTATACACAGAATTACAATAATGCCCCTGCAAATACTATTTGACAGACCAGTAAAAGAATGTTGTTGTAGCAGAACATGCATGTAATTGGACTGTCATATTGAGAAAATAAGCTCAGATGAACAATGTAGCTTCTCAGGAAAATGTAATATGAATACCAGAATATATGTATAAGGACTGAAAAGCCCCTGAGAAAGACTGAGCAAACCACGTGCTGAAACCGAATTTAAATCAAACACTAAGCTTTAGTAGTTGTAGTAGCTTCTTAGATAAACCCTCCAGACAATGATCCTTTACCAATGATCTTAACATCATGAGATGTACATTGAGAAATACCAAACTGCCCTTGATCACATAGACTTAATGAATGTAAGCCTTTGCAAGGATATATCAGCTTGCCAATGCACAACATACCAAATTGTCTTTGAATACTTTCTGAACAAACACTAGGACCAACAACAAAATTCTTGCCACAAATTATATGCGTTACTAAACCTGCTTTCGGTCACTATTGAACACACTCCACAACAAAAACGTTATTTCTATTCTGGATGAAAATAGAAACGCAAAACCTTTTCGGTTGCCAAACAGACCATTAAGGGATGCCACTTGGTTAAATTTGATGAATTCAACATAGGATAAGTCTAACTATAGCCACTTGCTAATTGTATTTTTTTTTTTTTTTTGGGGGGTAAACAAGACACATTCACACATTATTTGTTCAATTGGAATTCAAATTCAAACCCGCAGATCTAGCAACTTCAACTAAACAGGATTACAAGCAAGTGTTATGGATTAAACTTGTTTCAAAATTTTCAAATCTTGCCTTCTGCCACTTATTTAATGCGGTTATTTTATTTTTATTTATAAAAAAATAAATTAAAAAATTTAGAAAAATTACATATTTGATGAATTCTCAGTAAGATGTGATTGGCTTTTAGGGCTTTACTGTTTGAGCAATACCAATATGAACCACAAAAAAAGTGTATATTGTCGCATGGTTCCCATTGTCATTGTCATGCTATATGGGCTTATGAACCATACACAAAGCTACCAAACCAGTCATTGTCATTCCCATTGTTATGTATTAACCCCCCCTTCTCCACCTCCGTTCAACCAAAAAAAAAAAAAAAATTAAGAACTTCATATATACTACTAAATTGATCATAGCACAGTCTAGTCTAGTCAGTACATAATTGTATCAATATCCACTTGTCACCAACCAAAAAATAATAATCAGTCAACATTGTTCCAAACTGATTATTATTTTTTGGCTTTCGAGGAATGCAGCATCTTCTTCCAAACTGATGCTCGCATAATTAAGTAGAATATTTTCTGCACGAAGGACAGGCATACTATTAATTATTAAACCATTGATTAGAAAAATAATCCTAATCGCACAAATTCCGGACAGTCATTTCCTGAACAAGAAAATGAAGACGCTTAATAAACCACTAACAAGAACAATCTTCATTTGTGTTTTTATACTATGTTTCGCATAGTTTTAGCATGCTTATCACTCCAATGTCAATTAACTGCTGACAAAGCATCATAGCTTACTCCTGAAAGTGAGATTCCTATATATATATATGTATATATGAATATCTCTTGTAACCCTGTCGCAAATCTCCCTCCAAATCTAGATCAGCTTGTTCTATTTTTTGATGTTGTGCTTCTCTAGTCAAGGTCTTCTTCCATTTTCAACTAAACGATTCGCTCAAAAGTACAGAAAATAATTCTTATGATAATTGCCAATGTAAGTAAATTTTAAAGGAAAGAGCTTCTTAGATTTTACCTTCAATGGGCCAGCAGAAAGGCCTGCAAAATTGCTTGTTCTGAAAAGGCGTTCCCCAAGTCTTCAGCAAGATAATAACTCTGCTGCAAAAGCAAAAGAACAAATTAAGGGGTCGTTTGGTAAAGCTAATGTTTTTTTGTTTTCTATTTCCTATGGTGTCGAAGTAAAATTAACATATTGACAGAGGAGTGCAGGAGTGCAATTAAATTAAGGAAACCTAACCAGAATGAATGCATATTCTTTGCTTTCTCCCTGTGCTTGGTATTGTTAAACTTCAGCAGCAAAACGAGTCTAACAGATTTAGCTCTCTAAGGCAGAATATATCAGTCTGACCCAGACAAATGATTAGAACTTCCTACTTATTTCAACGTGAATACTATAAAAATGAATAAAGCTAAAATTTATTACCTGAAACTGAATGCCGGATCAATTGATGACAGAAGATCAACTTCAGGCTATTGTACATTCCTCGGAGGAAACCTTGTAACATGGAGAAGCAAGAAGCAGAATGTAGTTGCAAGGTCAATTGCAGAAGCTGAGTTCAGAGCTATGGCATTAGGAGCTTGTGAGCTTCTATGGTTGAAAATAATTTTGGAAGATCTGAAGATTGCATGGGAAGGACCTATGAAGCTATATTGTGATAACAAATCAGCAATTTATATTGCACATAACCCTGTGCAACATGACCGCACCAAGCATGAGGAAGTAGACAGACATTTTATAAAGGAGAAGTTGGATAGCGGACTAATTTGTACACCATATGTGTCAACCGAGGGTCAACTTGCAGATGTGTTAACTAAAGGATTGAGTGGTTCTGCATTTCAGTCTATTATTAGCAAGCTGGGAATGGAAAATATCCACTCACCAGCTTGAGAGGGAGTGTTAGAATCAGTAATTATGGTATGGATATGTTGTGCAGATTTTACAGCTCACTAGATAGGAAGAAAACGTGTATTACAACTGTATATATGTCATGTAATTAGAATGTATATTCTACTAGCTAATATCCCTGATTTATACGGATGGTATTCTAGGAGTCAATATTCCAGATTTGTAGGGTTTGTTTAATACTATAAAAATGAATAAAGCTAAAATTTATTACCTGGAACTGAATGCTCCCGTGGATAGAACTTGTCAGCTGAGATAGGATGACGGGAAGATTTGTTCATGTGGTCTAATCCAAACCCTTTAAATGGCATGTTTCTCTTCTTGGCTGCAACATACTCCGCTAAAAGTGCCTTGCTAACCTGAAGAGTAAATTCCCATGCATCCAGATCTAAATTTCATAAAGATAAATTGAGTAGACTGATACTTTGATTGCAACAATAGCATTCTATTTAAAATCATCCAGAAGTTAAAAGGTTTATCTGAATGGTTCAAACAGGGAACTTTTTCGTAATAAATTGCACCATTGTTACAACGTAATCTTCATCTCAACAACCACAGTTGTTAAAGGCGCGCCTAGGCTCCAAAAAAGCCCCAGGCTCGTCAAGGCTCAGCTAGATCGCCTCAACCTACTACAGGCTAGGCCCCTTCAATCAGGCTCACATAAAGCCGCTCACGCTTTTTAGTAGGCTCCAGGCTCAAAAAAGGCGTGCCTTATATTTTTTTAATCATTTATCCATAACATTTTATTTTTTACTTGATAACAACTAAATTAAAAAGTCCTACATCATATGTCGTATTGTTTAACCTTATGAAATATTTGACAAAATTCATAAATTTATGATTTACTACTTACATTAACTGCAATTACTGCTTGATTATGAATTTATAATAATAATATATGTTTAAATATGTAATATTATATACACGTGCCTTGCTTCGATCAGGCTCGTGCCTTATACTGCGCCTTGCACTTAGGCTCCAAAAGGCCTTTGGCACCGTAGTGCACCTTGAGCCTTAAACAACTACGTCAACAACTATGTGCCACGCTACTAGAAAAACCTTTTCACATATTAATGACCCAAATACCTGTTGCATGAGATTCTAAATACGTTGTTGTCCCCTCAAAAGTGGACTGCACATCTTATTCACCTTGCACGTGACCAATACGATTTTCAGTCTTCAGACCTTGTCCTCCACAAGCTTCGCAACATAGACATTCCTGGTATATAAATTGTAGGAAGTCAGTGAAGCTGCTTACTAGGAATATAATCAACTCCACACCTATAATTTTAGTTAATAGGACCTGAAGAGTTCTCATATTATGCCAGGTTAAAGTAGCCTTGAATGCACTTGAAAATACATGGATTGTTTTGTTTGATTCAGGTGTCCTCTTCACATAAATTATTTTCAAGTAGTTTTATTTTTTATTTTTTGGTAAGTATAAATTATTTTCAAGTAGTTAGCAGCAAAACTCATGAGATGAGTCACAATAAAGGTAAATCCATAACTCAGATGACCCAATTGCACAAAATATTATATATATAAAAAGCATTTGTGTCTATAACTTGGACAAATTTGACTTTATTATTTCATCAACTCTAAATAGGCCCTAGAAATCAAAACTAATTACTTCCAACTCTAACACCTTTACTCCCTCATAATTTCTTTTTATTTACACCTTTCTCTAAAGATCTAAAGTATAGTTTTAGCATTACAACAATAAAAGATCAAGTATGCAAATACAGTTTCATGGGATCAAGTATGCAAATTAGTTTAGATCTTTTTATTTACACCTTTCTCTAAAGATCTAAACTAATTGCTTGTTGTGAGGGTAGTACAGTTAGGTAATTCATAGATAGGGTTCTTTCTTTCTTGTTGTACGATCTTTCAAGGAATTTTGAACAAACAAGCGTATCACCCGTCATTCCCTAACAGAAAGATCTTCGTCTCTAAATCATTCGACTTCTGAGTTCTTTGTCCAAACTTCTTCATATTAGGTCTTCCAGTTCTTGTTAACCAATCTAATTGGCATTCAATGAAGTTGTCTTTGGCTGGTAGGAATGTAGGATGGAGTTAGTGAAATCAATTCTGAACTCATTTCTTTATTATTGGTGTGCTGATTTCTCCCTTTCTGCTTCTGTTCCTGCAACTTTGGGAAGCAAGATGAAGAGTTTCCTTTGGGCAGTAGGGAAACTGCAAGGAAACTTCATCTTATCAAATGGTCTGCAGTTTCTCTTCCTAAATCTGAAGGTGGCGTTGGTCTTAGGAAGTTTAGAGGAAATGATAACACTGCTAAATGCCTTCTGCTATGGGACTTCCTTCAATCCAAGGATAGGATTTGGATTGGTTGGTGCAACAGAAAGTATGCTTCCAAGTGTGCCATTTGGAATTCTGTATTGAAGCCTTCTCACTCTCCTCTTGGAAGCAGCTGTTGTATACAAGGAGTCAAGTATTGCAGCGCGTTGAACTTGAATGTAGGGTGCGCAATGGCTCAATAATGATTTTCTCATTAGACAAGGAGTGGCCTCTTCCTTGGGCAACTATTCAGCGAAATTCTTGGATCAGACCCGGCGACCTTCAGCCGCTCCTGATTATATTTGTCATACAAGCTGTTACTATCACTCCAGGTGAGGAAGCATGGTAGATGTACATTCAGGTCAGCTTGGGACAAAACTCGGAATCTGCCATCCTAAAGTTCCTTGGACCACACTGGTTTGGAGTAAAGGAACACCTAGAGCTGCTGTCACCACCATGCTTGCCACATTTGTTTTATAGATTCTGACTCGGTTAATCATCTTTTTTAGGCGATGTCCTTTAGCTCAAGAGGTATGGATGACGACTATCAGGGATGGCATTGGATGGAATTTAACCAGTCTCTTCCTTTGATCAGCTAGTAAAGTGGGGTGCCAATGTCTTTAAGAATAACTCTCAAACGGATCAGGTATGCAGGATGATCTTCAATGCTGCAGTGTGGCTGTGTGGGCTATTTCAAATCGGTGTTCATGCTAACAGCTTCAAAGAAAACTAGTAGTAGAGGTCGAATGAGGATTTCAATGGTGAACATGATAAGTGGGTTGGTACATTTGGGAGAGCGGCATGGGATTACAACATGTAGATTGGTACATTTGGGAGAGGACAACTGGGATAGCCGTTAACCTTACATAAGCGCCCCTATACACCCTGCATCGAAACAACGCCATTGTTACCTTTATGGGAGGCTATTAGCATTATATATATATATAGAGAGAGAGAGAGAGAGAATTAACATATGCATACGTTACAGTAAATTCAGAATTATGATTGAGAAGAAAGAACTTTAGCAGCTAAACTATTTCCATTTGTTCACAACTGCAAATAATTTACTCTGTGGGGTTGTGACTATTTTTTAGAAGTAATGTATATGCCATTAACACATTACCTATCCAAGGACATATACATATATAAACACATAGAGGATCCAACAGAAAGAGAGAGTAATTTGAAATATTCTCATCAAGAATGAGAGAGAGAAAGAGAAGACATTACTCATCTGAAAAATAATCACCTGATCTGGGTCCTTTATTGTGCCAAGATATTGCCCATCAGCAGAAACATCAGCTACTGAATTCAATAAATTCTCTCTAGGGACCAAGACATTGACAAATCCGGAAAATACATATTGGCAAAGCATACACTTCATTCTTTCTTTCATCCAATCAGGAGAAATTTTTTTTTTTTTTTTTTTTTGATAAGTAAAGATGTACTAGAAAGCATTCAAACGGGGAACGCATCCCACAAAAGTTAAACAAGGCCTAATAGGGGCCCCTAAAGAGTCCAAAAAATCAACTATTCCCCCCATTGATTTACAATTTCTCCCAAGAACCCAACAAAAAAGAGAGCTAAGAATAGAGAACTTCAGCACCCCAATTGAAGACTCCGCTCCCTCAAAAGATCTCCTATTACGCTCAAGCCATAAGCACCAGCAAACACACAAGGGCGCTGCGCTCCAAAAATCACGAGCTTGGGCAACCACTATACACCCTCTCCAAGCCTCAATCAGTCCTTGCGAGGAGTGAGGCATAACCCACGACACCCCAAATAAGCCCAGCAATAAGCTCCAGCAATCCCAAGCCACTGGACAATGCAACAAAAGGTGATCAAAAATCTTCTCATCTCTCTTACACATGCAGCACCAGGAAAATTTTATGACAACAGTTATTGACTTAGATGAAATCCAACAACTATACTTTTACCAGATTTGACCATTGTCAACACCATTTGAGCCAATCTTATGAACACAATCAGCTATAGATATGGTTGGACAGACGTCGCCATTTGTATCTCTGATCTGGACTATAAAAGCATGGACCCCTTGATTCTTTCCATTTATATGGGGCTGTGAAAAAACTATAGTGCGTGCCGCATGCTAAAGAGTATCAAAACAGAAACGTGTCAGTTTTATATTGATACTGAAAACAAAATAATTGAAAGGACAACTACGAATACCAATATTTTTGCAAGAAACAACATTACTTCCATGCTCCGGTTCAGTCATTGCAATTGCTTCAATAAAATTCTTTTCAAAATTTTGAGCGAGGGCCGAAATTGGGTCAGACATTTGGGCCGTGAGTTGTGCATTCGATCAAGTAATAGGACCGCAATTTCAGGCCGGTATCTAAATAATATCAGGCCAAGTTTCTGGGCCAGTCTTTGAGTGCTGGGCCCAGGTCAGCCAATTTAGCTTTGGACACGGTCAGAACCTTGGTTTGATGAGCTAACAAAACTTGATTGGCTTACACTAAAAGTATCCATTCCTAAAGCCTTCATGTGGCTATGGAAATGGAATTCAGGGTATGCCCACCCAATGAAAATGGAATTCACTGAAATTTGTCCCACCTACTTATAAAAACTGCTCTCAACAAACTGATATAGTAGCTATTTCATTGGATGGGCATACCAATGTTGTGATATGCCTGGCTCACCCAATATCTTCTCCTTCACGTGACAATGTACAACATTTGAGCCTCCAGATGATAAAGAATGAAGAGAGCATTGGCAGATTGAAGGAAGAAACTCTTGGGGAGCAGCATATAATGTCACATTTACAAATCCCTTATTTTAGACCATTTTTTCGGGGAGCTTTCATGTAATATCACTATGAAGGAGAAGTTGATCACCATCCTGAATTAACAAAAATTATCTTATTTGCTGGTGTTATAGAATTCTGTGTGTTTGTGCATATATACATACATTGTGTCAAGAACTGTGTGTATACAGAGTAGTAGCACGTACCTTCTGATTTCAGCAAGCTGTCACTGTTGCCAAATGGAGAATTCAAGGGAGAACTTCTAGTGTATGTTTTGGGACTATTGACTTCAAATGGAATTCCCCATTCTTTGATTCAATCCACTAAATTGAGCAATTCTTCAGCACAGATCCATCAATGAGTACTGGTGTTATTGGGTCCCTGTCATACAAATATAATCTGAGAAAGAGCCGGTTGCATAATGTCACTTCATGAAGCCAAGAAGATTTCAGAATCACTCTTCTTTGGTTCCGTATCGAGAGGGCTGTAAGTATTGCTAGCCTAAAGCTTTTAATTGTATCTATTTGGCTTCTGAAGCTTTGTTATGCTGACCCAGTTGCATTATCTGATGAGAATTTATAACATTTGATCATCATCATCCTTACCTTTTATCCCAAAAGAATGGGGTCGGCCTCATTAGAATTTGTAACACTTAAAGTCAAATCTTTTGAGATTGGAATTTATGACCAATTTATATCAATGTAGGTGCTTCTGGATTGAAAATACTCATGCTGTAATTCTAACATGACAGCAGTTCGTCCTTCTCCATGTGACTGGCAAGAAATGATAAACATTCATATACCATCTCTGCTTCTGGGTGTGATTTATCTTCCACAAGAAAAGTTTGAATCCTCTTGTTAACTTCAATCCAGCTACACCCAGGGTTCTTTTTCAATCCAAGGTCTTTCATCTTCAATCTCACTTTGAGAGCGTCATCCCATTTCTTCATGGAAGCATACATGTTAGCTAGAATTATGTAAGATGATGGATCATCAGGATCCTTCTCAATAAGAAATCTTGCAATTTCCCCCCCTAATTCCGATTCCCCATGCATATGGCAAGCAGAAAATAATGTGCTTAACAATTCACCATTCTCTTTAATGTCTGGGTTTTTTTGGAGAATCTCATATGCTTCATGCAGTCTCCCAGCACGTCCAAGAAGATCCATCAAGCATGAGTAGTCTTCAATTGTAGGTTTGATTCCATAATCAGTAGTCATTAAATTGAAATAATAACAGCCCTCATCAACTAATCCTGCATGGCTACATGCAGACATTACCGCAAGAAATGTAATTCTGTCAAGTTTCATATTGGATCTTTGCAGTTTATTAAAAAGTTGCAAAGCTTCAAAAGCTTGGCCATGAGACCCATAAGCCATGATCATTGAAGTCCACGACACAATGTCTCTCTCTGGTAATTTATTAAACACACTAAGAGCTTCATCCACAGCACCACATTTAGCATACATGTCCAGGAGAGCCCCCATAACTATTTCATTGGGTTCCAACTTACTTTCAGTGATACACTTGTGAATCTCCTTACCCTGTTCTAAGGCTGCTAGTTGTGAACAAGCTGCTAAGATACTAGTGAATGTGATGGCATCTGGTTTTATGCCAGCTTGTTTCATGCCAGTGAAGATGCCAAGAGCCTCAAAGTAACAACCTACTGACACATACCCAGAAATCATTACATTCCAAGCCACTACATTTGTCTTTGGCATCTTCCCAAAGACAATTTCAGCTAACTGAACTCTTCCACATTTGAAGTATAGATCAACAAGTGAGCTATTGATGAAAAGATCAGCTTCTAGATGGTTTCTTATAATATGCCCATGGATAAATTTTCCATGCTGCAGTTTGGCTGATCTAGAAGAAGCCATTAATAAGCTACTTAAAGTTGTCGAAGTGGATTTAATTCCTTCTGCATTCATCCTCCGGAAAAGCTCAATGCATGAATTCACATCACCTATGGAACTGTAGCCTGATATCAAGGAATTCCAAGAAACCAAACTCTTTCTTGGGATTTTCTCAAAAAGCTCCTTGGCCATCTCTAAACAACCACATTTTCCATACATGTCCACAAGAGCAGTGCTAATGAAACCATCCAAAGCAAATCCACTTCTCACCAATTCTTTGTGAATCCCCTTCCCTCTTTCAAAATCCAAAAGCCTTGTACAGGAAGATATAGCGGTTGTTAGCGTCACTGAATCAGGCTCGAACCCAAAGCCCTTCATTTTTTCAAACAATTCCAGAGCCTTCTCACACTGTCCATTTTGATAATAAGAAGAAATTAAAGTATTCCAGCAAGCCACATCTCTTTCAGGCATTTCATCAAACAACTGTACTGCAGAACCAAAAACATTACACCTAGCATACATCCTGAGTAAAGAGCTCGTAACAACGACATCCGAGAAAAACCCACTTTTGATCACATGGGTATGGATCATTTTGCCATAATCAACTCTGCCCAAGCCACTACATGCCTTTAGAACACTTGGGAATGTATAGCTATCCGGTTTAAGATAAGGAAAGTGTAGCAACCTCTCAAAGAGCTCAAGAGCTTCAATGAACATGCAGTTACTGGTGTAAGCTGCTGCAAGGCCATTCCACAAAGAAATGTCTAAGGGGTTGTCAATAGTTTGGAAAACTAGTTTTGCAGATTCAAATGAGTGGCAAGAGAAGTAGAGATTGATGACACTTTTGCACAAAGAAATGTTATTTTGTAAACCCAAAGTGACTACTTTCTGGTGAATGAGCTTGCCTTGTTTCAGTGACTTGGAATTTATGCATGCTCTTAAGAGAGACAACAGCATAATGGTGTCCATTCCATGCAAAAATAATGTATGGAATATATATTGGATTGATTATTAAGGACTGAGCAAAACCCACAAATAAGATTATTCTAACAATTAGTGAAAAACAAAGCTGTATATATCATGCGCACACAAATTCCAACACTGGATAGGGAAAAGAAAATCCAACATTGGGTACAGGACAATGATCCGATTAGGACGAGGTTATAGGTTACCAGTAAAGAGTAATGCTATCAAGAAACGTCCTAAATTTCGATCAAACACAAAATTATATATATATATATATATATATATATATATAAGAAAAGGAAATCTAGAATGAATTACTGAATAAATGTACATATATACAGAAATCTAGAATGAATCACTGAATACATGAAGTAAGAGAGGGAAAAAGATGACCTCGCTTTCCTCTGCTACCTATTGGAGGACGCTCAGTTTTAGTGAGAGGCGTGCTTTTCCGGTGAGGGAGAGTGAAGACTGAGGTGACAAATTTTAATAGGGCTGTGATATTTAAACCGAAACCAGAAGCCGATCTCCTGGACCGAGTCTACTTGGCTGCCTCACTGTCAAATATGACGTGGAGTCCACATCAGCATCATATTAAGCCCATCAACCTTGCCAATTCGGATCCCCTCATGAGGTATTCGGTGCGCTGGCATTCTAATTAGCCCAATGCAGAGGACACACTGAATATGTGGTATGTCCTATGGGGATATAATACCATTCATTTCTTTATTTATTTATTTTTTATGTTTTTTTGACAACAGCAGCAACAACAACTCAAACAACAACTCAAACAACAACCCAACAACCCATAACACAATAAAGACAAAGCCCCACAAAAACTCTAACAGCAGCATCCACCTCCACAATGCGAAGCAGTGATGACGACATGGAACTAAGAACTGAATCGGCATCCATATCAGCATTCAATAAAGAAGCCAAAGCATGGGCAATCATATTATCCTTGTTGGGAAACATGCAAGTTTTTAAAAAATTTCTGAGAGATTTTCATACATAGATTTTGATTTATCACATAGAGACAAATTTTATGCAAAAATAAAATATAATGTATCATTCAATTAATAGATTGAATACTTACATCAAAGTTTTAGTAAACCTTAAATCTCTCCTCCAAAGTGAATGTTCTCACTTATTGTAGATCCCTTTCCTAACTGCCTTTTCCTTGGATCTCCATCTTTTTTGTAATGGTTTTACCTTTAGGAATCACCCATAAGCCTCCATAAATGACCTTGGAAAATTAGACTTGTGGGAGCCTCCATTGGATGAGAATACTAACCCTAATATTCTAGAGAGAGAAAATATATTCCTTTTTTCTTTCTTCCAAAAGTCACATCTAAAATATACATAGACCATGTATATATAGACAACATAAAGATAAGGAAAAGGAAACAATAAATCCTTCTCAATCTCTAATTAACATGTCTCAAATCTAATAAGATTCCAATATCAAGTTTGGCTATGAGTGAGAATCCTTTGGACTTATTATCCCGGTCCATGGACCCAATTCAATTAATTCATAAATTAATTTCTACTCCACTAAAAGAAATTAATTGAACTCCAATTAAATAATAAATAACCTATAAGTCAATGTTACACTTTGACCCCTCTATACATAATTAGTTATCGGATAAATAAAGCCATCAATCCGACTACTTAATTAATATATTTATTTTGACACATTTGATTATTTTCGATTTGATCACAATAAAATATTTGTTTGACAAAAATAATAATTTAAATAAATATATATATAATAAATCATTTTGTCTAAAAACACACGAAGGCCTTCGAATTTACTTTGTGATCAATCATAATCAATACAAAATAAATAAAAGTAGCAATGATGCAAATATTGAAAATATAACCCTTTAACTATTAATTACATAATTACCCAAAGTGCCGGTCTAAGGATTCCGAAGATTCCGCCGAACAAATCAAAGTAATTACTAATTTATAAAAGAGTCTATACTTCTCTCATGCTTAAGAGTCAAATGCCATAACAGTGATAGGAAGCAATTGCATACGACGGTTCTCGCAATATATCTCAACCTAACGCGGATCCAGTTCAAGTCTTAGTTAATAATGAGTCCATCCATAATTACCGATTATGAATTATTTATAATTACTATTTATATTCATGTATTGATCGCCATCATATACATATATAAATATCTCTTGTAATCAAGTGGACACTATCAATTCCATAATGAATCAAAACATAATACATTGAATTCACCAATTGTATAAAGCATAAATATTTCAAATATATTAGGAACATATGTCACTTTAATCCAATTAGAAATTCGCTATGCCAGGGTATATAAATCCTAACAGCTCACACTTACCCTCATAGCCAATTCTAATTGCATCTAACTCCAATGTTATCCAAGTGACGATCAAAACTATTGATCGATGACACCATTGTTAATAAATAACAAATTTGTGTTCCAATGCAATGTTCTAGGCACGAGTACATTTTCTTACCGGACAATATCATGTAGGACATGATATTTCCTTTCAGTGTACCTTGTTCCTCTATGGAACCTTGGGTCATTAGTTTGGATTACTTCTGCATTATTGTCACAATATAGCTCGATAGGCAGGCTAGTATGCTCCACAACCTCTAAATCAGTGAGATCAAACCAAAAGACTTTCTTTGCTGCCTTTAAGGCTGCAATGTACTCCACCTTCAGGTTTGAGTAAGCAGTTGAAATCTGCTTAACACTCTACCAACTGATTTCCCTTCTATTGAGTGAACATACACCAAGTCATGAACCTCATATTATCTATATCTGATTAGAAATCAGAATCAACATATCTGACTAGAACCATATCATCACATCCATAAATGAGTATGAGATCATTGGTTCTCCTAAGGTGCTTAATGATATTTTTCACAACAGACCAGATATCAAGTCTGGGATTAGACTGATATCTACTGACTATTCCTACAATGTAGCGGATGTCCTATTTGGTATAGACCATAGCATCTATGAGAATCCCACATGCCGAAGCATATTATTGCACTCTCATTTACTCATTCTCCTCTGTTAGTCTTAGAAAACCTACTAGAGAGAACAATCCATGTCAATAACATAAAAACTCATTATTTGAGTTTTGCATACCAAATCTGGTCAAAACTTTATCAATGTAGGATTATTAAGATAAGCCTATTTTCCTTTTAACCTGATCTTACAAAAAGCTTAATTCTAGGAATATAGCTTACATCTTGAAAATCCTTCATTTCAAAATAATTGAACAACTACGTCTTTACTGTTGACAAAACTCCCACATCATTATACATGAGTAGGATGTCACCAATATATAGAATTAGAAAAATAATGACATTACCTTGTACACACATGGTTCATTCACTAAAAAATCTTCTGGTATCATTTTGTAGATTAACTTGCCTTCCATAGGTATCACCCTACTAGAAAGTTCTACAAGATCTTAGATTTTATTAGAATACATGGATTCCAACTCTGATTTCATAGCAACTTGCCAAAACGATCTGTATCCATATCGGTTCACGCTTCCGTGTAACTTGCTGGGTCTAACTTAATAGGGATGTGCATAAATGTCTCACCTAAAAACATGATTCTATCAAATTGGATGATAATCCTCCCACTACATCAATGTACTGATGCAGGAATCTGTGTACTAAATGATGCCGATGTATCAATAGGGAATTCATATATAATTCTTAATCTCTATAATAAGTGTGTTCATATGTGGTATATCTGGTACTCATACCATCTTCTCAAACATTATGCTACTAGGTATATGATTCATAATATGATCCTCTTATAGATAAATAGTGAGTGTAAACAATCAACTTTTATCATTGAGATTATAAAATAATCCATCATAGTGCTTTTAGAGTAGTCATCAAATCAAGCATGCCTTTGATCTGCTTCCAACTTACTTGTCCATATCAAGCGCACATGTGCAAGACTACCTCATATGTGCATGTGATTCAAACTAAGATTTAGTAAAAAACACAGCTCAAAAGATATCCTTGAAACAGACTAAGATGGAATGCAGTTCATAATGCGCATTGATATTGTCAAGGCTAAACTCTAAAATGAAAGAGATAATGTAGCATAACTTATCATAGATCTAACCATGTTAAGCAGAATTTTGTTATTCCTATTTGACACATCAATTCATTGAGCGTCAATTGCAGAAAACATGTACACAACACCCTCATTAACCATATAGTCTTTGCACTATCCCGAGGAATACTCAAATCCACGATCAGATCGAAGTGTTTTGATAAGTTTACCTAATCTGTGCTCCACATCAGTCTTGACACTCTTGGAATATACCAAAAGTTTAAGACTTGTGTCACATCAGGTAAATTTATCCAAAATGTGAGTAATCTTGCTTGGATATTCATAAGACCACACGTGTCAGTATGTACTGACTCCAATTGTTCTTTATGGCTATTTCTTTTTGCTGATTAAAGCCCATAGAGTTATCTATCATTCAATACAAAATTCAAAAGTTGGTTTAGGCTCCCCTGCCTCACTAGGTAATAAACCTTCTTTGACCAATCTTTGAATCTCATTTTGACTGATTATAACCCAATAATAGACATGAAAAATACAATGAGTCAGGAATAACAAATTTTATCTTAACATTCAATCTAGAAGATGCAACATTAGTTTCTACATCCTGCAAATATTAAGAGCTTGTGGTTATAGTATATTAACCATATTTCAATGCACCAGAAGCAATCGCACATCTATTCAATTTTATAAAACCAATTTTACAAAATAACAACACAGTTTTTATAAACCAAAAGTAAAACAAGAATTAGATTGCGTCTAATATCTGTGTATAAAGATAATTTTCTAATACTAATATCCTATTACTCTCTAATTTCAGATGTAATACTCCCACTGACTTAGCTACAACTTTGGCATCAGGTCAATGACAAATATATATCTATATCATCGAGGCTTCTGGATTCCTGAAATCCTTGCAACGAATTGAAAACATATTTAGTGGCTCCAGAATCTATCCATCAGGAATTAATAGATACAACCACATAATATGGCTCAATGATTAAATATACATTTTCTTATGTCACGTCATTGCATAGACAGTTCGTCCTTTAGTGTCTTAATTAGCGGTAAAAGAAACAGTTTCATTCGCCCTCAACATACACTGCCTTATTCCCTTTAACCATTTGGATACCCATATTTTGTGC